GGAAACAGTCAAGATGCCCCACCACTGACGAATGGATTAAGAAAATGTGGTATCTATACACAATGGAATTTTATGCAGCCATGAAGAAGAACGAAATGTTATCATTCGCTGGTAAATGGATGGAATTGGAGAACATCATTCTGAGTGAGGTTAGCCTGGCCCAAAAGACCAAAAATTGTATGTTCTCCGTCATATGTGGACATTAGATCATGGGCAAACACAACAAGGGGATTGGACTTTGAGCACATGATAAAAGCTTTAGCACACAAGGGAGGGGTGAGAATAGGTAAGACACCTAAAAAATTAGTTAGCATTTGTTGCCCTTAATGCAGAGAAACTAAAGCAGATACCTTAAAAGCAACTGAGGCCAATAGGAAAAGGGGACCAGGAACTAGAGAAAAGGTGAGATCAAAAAGAATTAACCTAGAAGGTAACACCCACGCAAAGGAAATTAATGTGAGTCAACTTCCTGTATAGCTATCCTTATCTGAACCAGCAAAAACCCTTGTTCCTTCCTATTATTGCTTATACTCTCTCTACAACAAAATTAGAAATAAGGGCAAAATAGTTTCTGCTGGGTATTGAGGGGGGGGGAGAGGGAGGGGGCGGAGTGGGTGGTAAGGGAGGGGGTGGGGGCAGGGGGGAGAAATGACCCAAGCCTTGTATGCATATATGAATAATAAAAAAAAAGAAATTATGCTGAGAAAAATATTTAGTGCTATAAATTATTAAATTAAGAAGGTTGTAAAATAATGTGATCAAGTTTTATAAAATAAAAATTACATCATGAATAGTCAAAGACAAACAAGCAAATATATTTTATTAATGACAACCATGTGTTTCCTAGCTGGAAAAGGAATTATAAATAAAAAAGGAAGAAGAATGAGTCCTTTGGTATAGGATTGAAATTGAAGTTGTAAGAACCATACCTATGACTTTTTACCACACACATAGATAGATGTATATGTAGATACAGATATCTGCTAAACATATTTATAAATTCCTTGTTTTCTCTACAGAGAGCTTAGAAGCAAAGATACCCAAATAGTGAGGGAGTATAGCAAGAATCTAGATTTTAGTCTGTAAAACCATTGTCTAAAAGGAACCATTGCTTCTTGGAAAAATGGTTGGTTTTAGAGCTGGGCCTGGGAAAGCACAGGTACCACAACGCAAGGGAGTATTATAACACAATCAGACGAAGTCATAAGGATCCAGGTACCAGATTGCTTCTGGGACAATATGGGAAGCAAAATAAATGATGGCAACACATTTTAACCAACAGAATAAAACAAACATCTATGACTCTATATTCACCTAATGAAATAATTGAATGAAATCAACAAATGGGGGAGAGGAGAAAGTTCTTCATTTAGTACAATTCCAGGAATAATGGAAATACAGAGTCACAATAATAATAATTGTTTTAGCAAATATCACCAACGGATGCTGAAAACTGTATAGGAAAGTATGAAGAGAAAGTGAATATTTATATAGTCCAAAGTATCTCTCACTAATATGTTTATTAATTTTCAAAAGAAAAAAGTAACTTTACAGTCTAGAGGGCTGGCAGATGCCTCTGTGGGCATTGCTGCCAAAAATATATAAGCTGAATGTAATCACAGAAAAAGAGTAGGCCAACTCAAAGTGCGGGACGCTTTACAAATTAGCTGACCAGTACTCTTAAAACGTTAACAAGAAAGACAAGGAGACTAAGGAGACACGACAAGTAAATGCAATGTTGCATCCTACATCAGAGAAAGGGCATTAATGAGATAAAATTCACAATGACAAAATTTGAATAAGATAATCAACAGGATTGGATCAGTACTTAGGTTAACATTAGAAGAAGCTAGGGGAAGGGTATAATGGAAATTTCATTGTCTGAAATTATTTTAACATAAAAGTGTGAATTTAAAACAAGTTTTAAAAATTCAGTAAATAGGAAAAAGCTTCATATTCATGGGTGTGAAGGTGTAATTACTAGCCAGGCATGGTAGCACACACCTGTGACCCCAGCACTGGGGAGGCGGAGGCAGAAGGATTGTGAATTCAAGGCCAGACTGAGGTACGTAGTGAGACCCTGTCTCCAAAAGCCAAGGTTTGGGGAGGTAACTCAGTGGTAGAGCTCTTGTCTAACTCACATACAAGGCTCTGGTGTGAGTTCTAGCACTGCAAAAATATATAATTACTATGAAAGACTTACATTTTAGTCTGTTGCTTTTTCTAAATTATCTACAATAAGGTATACTACTTTTGCATAAATAGAAAACTATTCTCTTTAAGTATTATTTGGAAGTATCAAAATATTTAAGAAATATAAATTGTCCCAAGAAACTAAATATACAAATATCTAAGAGGCAAAAAGTACCTGACTGAATCCTTTTCTCTAATAGTAAATTTGGAAATAAGCTCCTTTAGAAATTGCTTTACTATATTATTATTGGCTGAGTGCTGAAACAGAAAATGTCAATGAGCTGACCATGCATTATAATTTTTATGTAAGATTATAAAGGATAACCAATATATTTGCAAGTATAAAAATTTACTTCCTTCTGTACCTTTTATCCAAGTCTTCTGACCCTAGAGTTCATTACCAAGTCAGTGTTTGAAGCGGGAGAAAAGTTATAAGAAACAAATGAGTATCCAAGGCCACAGCTGACACTTTATCCTTTGTTTATAAAAAGTGACTAATAAGGAATGGTAAAACATCTTCCTGGAGAAGTAAACCCATGTGTTAGTTATAAAAGTGTGTCAAAAATGTATGCATTTGTTATAGCCTTATATCCCTTCTAAATTCTGATAGCATGTGCTTATTGTATTTTTAAAATATTTCATTTTAAAAATGAAATTTTATTTTTAAATAACAAAATACTAGAGGCTTATTATAAGACATTCAAACATTTTAGAAAATCATAAAGAAGAAAAATTTTAAAAAGCTCTCCAAATCTCGCTACCCAGAAATGGCTACTGTTAAATCTTTTCATGTAATCATTCTGGATCTTCTTTCAGGTATATCCTTACATATGAAGCAGCCATCCTATATACAATGGAATTCATGAATGGAATTAAAATATTTTGCAGCATCCTATCAACTGAAAGGTACTTAGGTTACTTTTAATGTACATCCTTTTACATATGTCTTCACTGAGAGATTTAGTGAATCTTTAAAAACAGCTTAAGTATTTTGAAAGTTTTAAAAAAAATTTTATTACAGAAATTTCCAAAACAGGTATAATATAGAGACAGTAAAAATCCCTCATAATCTCAATCTGTTTGGTGTACTTCCCTCACTAAAACTTATTCCTCCCAAAGTCAATCCCCTCAGTATATGGCTGCTCTTTCCTTTCAGCTGCTCTGGAGAAAGGTTCTGGAATCACCTTTGGTTCCCCACTTCTTCTAAAAACCCTTGTCCAATCCATTAGTAGATTATCATAGTTCTCAAAAAAAAATTTGGGATCCAACCAATTTTTGTCAATTTTACCCATATTAAACTGGGCCAGTAACCAACACTTCCTGCCTAGCCCTAGAAGCATTCATTTATAGGGTTTCATGTACCACAATGAAAGTAACCTCCAAGAAATAGCACTTGCCAGGTTTTTGTGTAGCAAAGAATATTCACGAAATACTCTTCCCTTTTAAATTACATGTGGTGCTAAGGCTGGATTTTCTTCATATACTTCAACAAAAATGACATATTGTAATAGATATTGTGTTGACTGCAAAAGTAGGTAAATGAATCTAGTGGACTTTTACAAAGCTGGATATTAAAGCTATTTGCAAAACAGTAAAACGATGCCACAATTTCCAATAATTTGTTAATTTGGAAAGCAGTTATTTTTTATGAAAAATTGTATTTTTATGTTAGCAGATAATGATTTTTTTATTGTTATATATAAGTGAGGTAACAAATACTTGAGAATTTCTCAGTTTTAACTAGTATGGAAACTATTGATAGGTATAACCAACATAACCATTAGGGAATCAGTGCTCTAATGACTTCCTTTTTATTCAGAGTAAATGTCAAAATTTTTACCACAGTTCACAAACTCCCAGCATGATCTGATCCCACCTTCCCTACCATCTCTACTCCCATCTCTCACTAATTTTATTTCTAATCATTGCTTTCCATCTTTTTTACATAGCCTCTTTGATTTGAATACACCAAGTAACTTACTACAGGACAGTCTTGGCATTTGCTTTTTAGTGTTTGGAAAACACCCCTCCAGAAGCCCTATGGCTCTCTCTTCCTTCAATTCTTTCTTAAATGTCATCAGTTAGCTAGCCCTCAATAAAATATATAAAACATCTTTACATCTCCTTCACTGTGCTTTATTACTTTTAAAGAAGAGCAGTATTACCGCTTGCCACATACATACACACACACACACACACACGTATCTTATTTTGAGACAGTAGTCCAGGCTGACTTTGAACTCATTATGTAGCCCAAGCTAGTCTTGAATTCAATCCTCCTGCCTTTACATCTGCAGTGCCATTACACCCTGCTTGACTTATATTTTTGGTTATCAGTATTCCCTTTCTTGCAGTCCATAATTGCAGGGACTCTTCTCTTGTCCATTACTATATGCTTAATTCATAGAATTAATTAATTAAGAATTCTATGAATTAAGCATAGAATTCATAGAAAAGTACTTGACACGTACTTTGTCTTCAATACAATTTGACTGAATGGGTAACTGAAACTGTCATATTAATGCATTTCTATTTGCTTTTCTTTGAAAATTCTTTTTTTTAAAATTTATTTATTTATTTTTATTGTTTTATTATTCATATGTGCATACAAGGCTTGGGTCATTTCTCCCTCTTGTCCCCACCCCCTCCCTTACCACCCACACCACCCCCTCCTTCTCCTCCCCACTCTTTGAAAATTCTTGATTTGACTCACCAGTTGTTTAAATGAGGTATATTTTATCCTAAAACAGGAAAGATAGGGCAGAAATGATGGAAGAAAATGTAGATATCAAAAATGACTTTCATACCTGACATACTCTGAGAGCTTGGTCCAAGACTGTTTTGGTATCAGTGTCATAATCTGGGCAGGGTAGCATGGCTCGGCTGAGATGTGCCTGTAGCAGGAGATGTGCTTTGGTATGGGGGCTGTCAAATGAATGAGGATTTAATTCAATGGGTAGACATTTTGCCAATTCACTATTCATATGGTCTTCATTGTGTCTTACTGGTAAATCTGTGTATTCTTCTGCGTCCTGAAAAATAAAACAACCCATATATTTATGTATGTGTGCATGTATTTGTTGGATCAAAAATGTAATACTTTTTAGCTTTATCTCCTGACTTTCAAAAGTTTAGAAAAACTGTGACTAACTGTATCTCTTAGAATTCTGCTTTGTTCAATACTACCATTAATACATAAGCTAAAGGTAGTTATGTACAGTATATCTAAGTTCACAAATACTCTTTTGTATTTACACTGTCAAAAATACAAAGGTCCTACTAGAGGATCTACTAGGTACTGCAGATTACAATGACAGTGGGACCATTGCAGTGAACCAGAAACTGAGAGCCTTCAGGGAAGGAAAACAAATTCCACACAGTATAATGAACATCATGACATGCTAAGTACAGAGAGCTGAAGGGACGTTCAGTTTGGAGAACTGACTTATTTTAGAGGGTCAGGGAAAGTTTTTGGGGAAATTGATATTTAAATTAAAATCTGGGGTTAGTAGAAGATCTAAGGCAGGACTGGAGAAAGGGACAAACAGAATTGATGAGGTAAGAAAATGGGGAGAGCAGGATCATTAACTTAAAATTTATTTGAACGAATTAGATTATAACCAAATTGTTCTGTAGTAAATGTTATGTTTGGACTGTTTCTTTTGTTTTAGAAGACTCAGTAAGGCACTTACTGACAGATACTACAGAGGCTACATTTTACCACTGAACCCTATTAAGCTTAAATATAAGTAGACTTTTCCATTAAAAACAAACTGACCTACTTTATTTATTTTTTTTGTAATTTTATTTATTTATTTAAATTTTTATTTTACTCATATGTGCATATAATGTTTGGGTCATTTCTCCCCTTTTCCCCCACCCCCTCCCTTACCCTCCCCCCCTTGCTTCTCGGCAGAAACTATTTTGCCCTTATTCTAATTTTGTTGTAGAGAGAGTATAAGCAATAATAGAAAGGACCAAGTGTTTTTGCTAGTTGAGATAAGGATAACTATACAGGGAGCTGACTCGCATTGATTTCCTGTGCATGTGTGTTACCTTCTAAATTAATTCTTCTCGAACTTTATTAGTATTTGTTATGACAGAATTTTTTTTTCCAAATATGCAGTTTAGATTGAGGCTGTTGCTGTTGCTGTTGCCGTGAAGTCCTGCTATCAACCAACATGAATTAGATGTGTTAATATCAGAAATTGTGTAATGATATTTGAATAACAAGGACAGGATTTATCCTCTTCCAGCAACCACCTGGCCTCATGCCCCACAAAAGAAAGAACAAAGGGTAGGAAACAGTGATCCTCCAAGTATTGAACACGAGCCTATGGAAGACAGTGATCTCTGAGATATAAAAAATAAACTAGGTGAGCCCTACTGTTGCTCCAGCTAGTACTGCATGGAGAATTTTTAGACTATGATACAGAGAGTTAGAATCAATGTAGACCTGGAAGATTCCCTGAGTTGAGATGAAGCTGACACTCTAAGGACTTTAAGGTGGCTAACATTTGAATAACAGAATGCTACAGGAGAGGGCTATGGGGGTGGGGGAGTGAGAGGGAGAGAGATAATGTCTGTCTGTGCTCCAGGGAACTGCAAGGGGTTGTACTGGAGTCTTCACCAGAGTACTGCATGTATGTATGGAAGCTATGCAAAGTTGGAGAAAGAATCATGCAAAACCAGTTACAGGGAACAGTGTCACACTAAAGAGTGCTAGGAATAATATCTGTTCCCAGCACTTAGACCAGAGACACTCATAAAGCACAGTGCATAATGCAGAAAAGGTCTTACTTAAGGACTGGGGGTAATTGGTTCTCTTATGAGGACTACTGTGAATCTGCCTAGCAAATTAGAAAAGCAAGTCCTAAAAAGATCACATGCTTCCAAGTAATTAACTGAACTCAAGATCAAAATGTAGGAAGATTTACAGGAATACAAAAATATACAGCACTAAGAAGGCAAAATTTACAATGTATGGCATTCAATTAGTGATTACCAGCAATGCCAAAGAGCAGAAAAACAGAACCTGAATGAGGAGGATAATCAATCAATGAAAACTGACCTAGACCTGAAACAGATCTTACAATTAACAGACAAGGACATTAAAACAGTTACTGCAACTCTATTTTATATGTTCAAAATCTTTTAGATAACTACTTGGTTTAAATTTCTAGAAATAAAAACTACAACACTGGAGATGAAAAATGTATTAGATTTTTATTAATGGAAGAATATGTATTGAAGAACAAGATTAGTGAACTTAAACTCATCAATAGAAATTATTAGAAATGAAAGAGAAGAGAGAATTATACAGCTTCAATGAGCTGTGACACAACTTCAAGTGGCCTACCACATATTGAGGGAGGAATGTGTGAAAAAATAATGGCTAGAGAATTTCTCATTATTTTGATAGTTTGATGTAAACTATGACCTATAGATTCAAGTTCAATGAACTCCAAGCAAAGGAAACTACATCAATCATAATTCACAACTGAATTGGTCAAAACCACCAATAAAGAGAACATAAGAAAAACAGCCAGAGGAAAAAGTACATAGGTACAGATTTTGAACAAAGGGAAGGATGATAGCAGGTTTCTCATCAGAACAAAACGATACAACAAGGCAATAGTAAATCAACATCTTTGATGTAGTGAAAGAAAAAACAACTTGTCAGCCTAAAATGCTACTATTTATCAGCATAAATAAATCCTTCAAAAGTGAAGCCAGATATGGTGGCATATATGTGTGTTTCCAGCTACTTGGAGGCTGAGGCAGGAGGACTACTTAAGCATGAACATTTGGGGTCAGCATGGACAGTATAGCAAGATCTTATTTCTTAAAAAAAGCAAAAATCATTTTAGCAGACCTGTACCACAAACAATGTTAAAAGATATTGTTCAAGAAGTACATAAATGATATAAGATGAAAATATGAATCTACCTAAAGGAATAAAGAGTGCTGGAAGTAGTAATTATGAGAGAAATATATATATAAAGATTTGTTCTTATTATTTTAACAGCATTGAAGGGCATTGACTAAACAAAAATAATAAGGTAAGGAATGCATTTCGGAGTTTGTATCATAGGCAAAAGGAAAATATATAGCATAATCCCCTAGTTGGGGAGAAATGGAGATATAATATTGTGAGGTTCTTTTATGATAAATGAAGCAGTATAATGTCATTGAAGATAGACTGTGACCAGTTAAAATATATTCTATAAATCCCAATGCAACCATTAAAATAGTTAAAAGAGTTAAAGTCAATAAGTCAACCTAAATGATAAGAAATAATCCAAGAATGGCAACTCCCTTTTCCAAACCTCCAGCAGAACAACAACAAAAAGAACAAAGAATACAAGAGTCATATAAAAATAAGGTATGCTTGCATACTATAAAAAATTAAGGGATAAACTGGAAAACAAGTGGCAAGCTTACACATTTAAATGTAATCATATCAATAAGTACATTAAATGCAAATTGTCTGAATATTCCCAATTGAAGTTAAGAGATCGCATAATAAAGCATAAGTCAACTATATCATGCCTAAATGAAACACACAAACACTACACACTACATACTACACACACACACACACACACACACACACACACACACACACACAGGTAACTGTTAAGAGAGAAAAGACAAAAAGGTGTACCATACTAACATTAGTTAAAAGACAATAGCAGTGGCTTTATTTTAAACATAGATTTCAGAGCAAAGAATATTATCAAGCATAAATATGATAATTTAGTAAAGAAAATGGAGTTAATCAGAGAGAAGAGATAACAATTTGAAACATTTATGTCCCAAGGGCTGGTGGAGTGGCTCAAGTGGTAGTGCCTGCTTAGCAAGCAAGAGGCCCTGAGTTCATACCCCCGTACTGCAAAAAAAAAAAAAAAAGTTGTTATGCTGTATTGTTTAGGGAATGTCAAGGAAAAAAATCTGTATATGATCAAATAATGTAGCTTCAAAATCCATGAAAAAAAATTGGTGGAAAAATTGAAAAAAAAAACCCTCAAATATAACAGAAGATTTAAATGTCAATCTTTTGATAATTGGTAAAAACAAGCAGATAAAAATCTGCAAGGACACAGAATTGAACAACATTGTCAACTAAGTGGACTTAAATGACATTTATAGAATACCCCACCCAATAAAAATAGAATACTCATTATTTTCAAGAGCATTTACTAAGACAGATCATATTCTGGGCTGTAAGACAAGTTTCAAGTCATATTCTGACCAAATGAAAAGTAAACAAGAAATCAGTAACAGACAGATCTCTGGAAAACACCCAACTATTCAGAAATCTTACAACATATTTCTAAATAATCCATGAATAAAAGAAGAAATACGAGGAGAAATTATTTTGAACTGAGTGAAAATAAAAATAAAATCTATCAGACTTTGAGGAATGTCATTAAGGCAGTACTTAGGAGGGATTTATAAAACTAAATGTTTGTATATTAGAACTAAAGAAATGTTTCAAACTAATGACCTCAATTTCTATTTTAAGAAAATATAAGGCCCTAAATTCAAACTCCACACTATCAAAAAAAATGAATATAGTGAAAGAAGAACAAATTAAGCTTAAATAAGAAAGAAAATAAAAAGTTGAAGGGAAAATCATTGAAACAGGAAAAAAAATAGACAAAATTAGTGTGATCAAAATCTGATTCTTTGAGAAGATCAATATAATTGATAATCTTCTAGAAAGTAGATCAGGAAAAAAAGGAGAGAAGACATATCAATATCAGGCATGAAAACAAGGATATACCTAAAAATTTTACAGATACCAAAAGGATTATAAAAAATAATATGGCTGGGCACTGGTGGCTCACATCTGTAATAGTAACTACTCAGGAGGTAGAGATCAGGATCATGGTTTGAAGCCAGCCCTACACAAATGGTTGACAAGACCCTATCTTGAAAAAAACCATCACAAAGAAGGGCTGGTAGAGTGGCTTGCTAACTCCTGCCTAACAAGCATGAGGCCCTGAGGTCAAATCACAGTGCCGCC